TACTTTTTCACGTAGTGCCAGGCAGGTTTGGACAGCTTTTTTCCCTTAATAAATGAAATCATATTTTCAAAACTGCAGTTTATATTTACTCAGGTTATCTTTGTGTAATATTAAAATTAGTTTGATGATCTGAATCTTTTAAGTGTGACAAATATGCAAACAATAAAAAAAACAGGAAGGGGGCAAAAACTTTTTCACACCACTATAATACATCATGAGTTTGTTTCCCAGTCAGTGCTTGAACTGATAACATGTTTGCATTGTAAGTCACTGTGGATGAAAGCATCTGACAGATGCATGCATGAATGTAAACGTCACCTGTTTGTTCATGAAAACGTAGATGATGGGGTTGTAAACAGCTGCGGTTTTGGAGAAGAATGCCGGAACGGCTGCCAGCCGCGGGTCCAGGTGAATGCTGGGAAGGGCCGTGACCACGATGGAGAACGCAGCGTATGGAGTCCAGGCCACCATGAAGGCCACGATCATCACAACCACCATACGAGTCACCTGACGCTCCGGCTTCCTGGCATTACCCAGCCTGCCGTGCGTGTTAGACACCTGCGAACATACACTTAGTGCGTGCTGACAAAACAACAAAATCGTCAAATCAACACTGATGATGGCAGTGGACATAAATAATGTTCTGTACATAGTATCAGGATTATCACACATAGTAACTTTAGATTATTTTTATGGTTTGTCGGTGATCTGAGGTCAGTTTGCAGCTGTAATGTCATCAGAAAGCACATAGAGATCATTAGGATTCAGTGAATCGCTCATCTAATGAGCCGCTGGACTCCAGGGGCCCGTTTCAATAAGGAGGTTCAACCAACTCTGAGTTAAAACTAGAGTACACTAAGTGGAATTAGCATACTTTCTTAGCGATAGATCCTATTTACACTAGGCTAAGTGCAAATAGCTCTAGATGCTATTTACACTTCGTGAAAATAGCGATATGTTCTATTTACCATGTAAAAGTAGTGTGCAATTCTTTGCAATAAGTGTAAATAATAATTAGATGCTAGTTATACTTTATACTGGCAGATACATACTATTTACACCTCATTATTGTTGTACATTAACAGGATGCAATAATAATACAAGAGTGTAAATGATTATATTTATTACAATTATAAATGCTTTCATCATTATTAATCACTCGTTAGGCACTTTACTTCCACTTTTAGAGTATTTTCTTCATTTTCATTGAAAATAAATTCTAATGTGATGGGAAAAGTGAGAAGAACGAGCTCGGCAAACGCCAGACTCGAACCCGGTCGAACGCATCACAAGCTAGTTCTCCGTGCCCAACGTGTTACTGCCTACACCACTGTAGCCGTTACTCTTGCCTGTTGTATTTAACCTTGTGTGACATTGGAGGGCGGAGCTACTGTAAATTTGCACTTAGTAATAGACACTCCAAATAATCTTGTTTTCCATTTGCATTAAGATTATTTTTATTACCACACTGGCACATAATTTTACTTAAGTAAAATGCACTTAGATCCCCCCCCAGGAAACAAGACTAAATATCTTATATCATTTTCTTATATAGAGAATTCATATTGATTTAAGAATTTTGAGATATTTGTACTTGAAATAAGAAATACTTAGTACGAAAAGCATTTTTGCAGCGTGCATGAAAGTATTTAAACATCGCTTCCGCTTTAAAAAGGGGGAGGAGACCCAAAGAAACTCTGGGTTAAGAAAACCTGCTCCTGACCAGGTTAGGTTCACAGAGTAAGTTACCATGGTAACTGACTCTGAGTATAAGTTACCTCTCTTTCAGAAACGGGCTTGACTTACCCTGCTTTCTCGGGTTTGACAAACCTCCCATTCTGAAACAGAAAACCCAGAGTTTCCCTCATTTCAGGGTTAACATACTCAGAGTTTTCACTTAACCTCCTTTCTGAAATGGGCCCCAGGTGTTGTGGAACGACTGACCTTTCTGAGCTTCCGGAGCAGTTTGCAGTAGCAGACGATGATCACACCCAGCGGAAAGATGAAGCAGGTGGTGAAGAACATGATGATGAAGGTGTGATCATGGACATCTCCTGAATACCTGCGGAGGGACAAAATCTGTGTGCAAAGATCTGATGAAGAGAAGCTTTCTTACCTTTCCAGAAAAAAAATCTGTATA